CTCCCTCCCTCCCTCCCTCCCTCCCTTCCTTCCTTCCTTCCTTCCTTCCTTCCTTCGTCTCACTCTGTCACACAGTCTGGAGTGCAGTGGTAAGATCTCGGCTCACTGCAACCTCCATCTCCCAGCTTCAAGCAATTCTCCTGCCTCAGCCTTCTGAGTAGCTGGGACTACAGGCACACGCCACCATGCCCGGCTAATTTTTGTATTTTTAGTAGAGATGGGGGTTTCACCGTACTGGCCAGGCTGGTCTCGAACTCCTGACCTCGCGATCCGCCAGCCTTGGCCTCCCAAAGTGCTGGGATTACAAGCGTGAGCCACCGCACGCGGCAGCTGGTGTCCTAGTTTCTGCTTGATGTTTAAGCCCCTCTAAATTCTGGCCACACACATACTCCTGTGCACCTGACCTTATTTCCCACAATTTCCCAACCCCATTCTGAGATGCAGTGATATGTCCTGTACTCTCCTACAGGTTTTGTTCATTTCATTGAACTTACTTAGGATGCTCTCCCTTTGTTTGACCACTTAAGTCCAGCCCTTGTCTTGAAAATTTAACCAAAGCCCCACCTCTTTCATCAAGTGTTCCATGAACACTCTGTGCTTTAGTACTCCCAAGCCTTGGAAAGCCTTCACATACCCCCCAAGTTTAAGATTACTCATATTCTGCCCTGTAGAATGTGTTAACTTTGCCTTCTGCACAGCTCTTGGCACAGAACAGAAGACACCGTAGATATCCTTCTAAACCTTGATTTGGGGTTAGGGTTCAAAGGACAGCCTTGTAGTCAATGTGATTCAGAAGAAGATGTGCTTCTGTTCCAGTCTGGCAAAGACAAACACTGATGGTTGAGGCTATTAGCAGGGCGTGCATGGTGGGCACATGAAGGTAGTTTCCTCGACTGCATTTCATGGCTCACACTGGATAGTTATTTGTAAAAGGATTTTGAGATATTCGAGCAATTTATGTGTGTGAGAGAGAGACTCCAGGAGGGAAGGGGGTGTGGGGGAGGAATGGGTGTTTACAGGGTAGGAGTTGGTGTACCTTGTTTGTTTTGGGTCATGTGATGTTCATCTCCCTCCTCTGCCCTGTCCAAGCACGTATCTTTTATCTAATCTACATCTTCAGGAGGCAGTCCAGGCTTACTAATTGTGATCAATTACAACTCATTCTTAAGTTAATGGCCAAGTCTTCAGTGTCAGTGTGATAGAAGCAATTTCTGTCTCTATTTTAGCCCCACCACTACTGTCTTTTTTTCTTTTCACATATTAGGTAAACCCCACAGCCCAGTGTACCCATGCCCTGTTGAAGATGATCTACTGCTCCCACTGCCGGGGTCTCGTGACAGTGAAGCCATGTTACAACTACTGCTCAAACATCATGAGAGGCTGTTTGGCCAACCAAGGGGATCTCGATTTTGAATGGAACAATTTCATAGGTGAGCAAGTGATTAACATATTTGCGTTGCTAGAGATAGCTTAGCTTCCAGTCACAAGGACTGTTGTAATTGGCAGCTATGAAATTTGTTTATTTTAGTGTTAGTTATTTAGTGTTTGTCAGAATCCTGACTATGTAGATCATACTCAACTACTTTGAGTATAGTAAAAACATTACTACAAGTGAATATTCCCTTGAACTAATGGTGGCATTTCTGAAGGTAATAGGTACAGTGACTGCCAGGTTTTAATAACGAGAAAATGCTTTTTTCTCAGAGACAGAGTCTCTTTCTGTCACCTAGGCTGGAGTATAGCAGCACAGTCATAGCTGTGTGTAACCTGAAACTCCTGGGTTCAAGCGATCCTCCCACCCGCAGCCCCCCAAAAGCCCTGGGATTATAGGCATGAGCCACTCCCTGAGAAAGTGCCTTTTTGATATTTTGCCCCTAAAAGTCAGTTGTGTTTATGATTATAGGCTTGTATCCAAGTAAATGCTGGAGTACAGTCCTCATGGAGTTGTAAAAGTGGCTTTTAAAATGTTATATCTGTTACACTGCAACCAAATCTTCTGCAAACAGGCCAGATATGTATTTGTTATTTGGATCAGGTGAAATCTGATTGAGAAATTTAGGGATTCTGTTTCTGTACACGATTTAGCGATAGTAGTCTGCTCTGGTGAGAGTGGAAGGACTTTAGCCCTGAGAATGTAAGGGATACGTATTCCTGCATATATCTTCCATCTAGAAAACCATTCTCAGAGCCCAGACAGCAGTGTAAATGAAGTGGCCAATTGCTGAGAGGGTTAGTTATGATTTTGGGGAAAGGACAAATTAAGGAGAATTTAAATGTCCAGTTGTCAATTACCTTGATGCCTGAAACAACAGTGACCAGTGTTGAAGTTCATTATGCTGAGTATTAGTAGGACCGCACACACATACTAACAGCTCACAAAAGGAAACTCACATTTTTCCCCACCCCAGTCACCTTTGCATAATTGCCAAATTTGAGTGTCTTTATAAGCACCTGTTTTTCACTTATTTGTCCAAATCATGGGAACATGCATGCAGTTTGCTAGCTTGTTTTTCTGGGGGGAAGTGAGGGGTATTAAGGTTGGGGAATGCTTTTTAGTCTGTGTGAGAGCTAATTACCATATTAACTCCGTTTGAAAGTGCATCAATAAATTGGCTCCAACAGATTCTTAAGAACACTGACACAGGGGGAAAAAAAAGATGTGAATATTAAGCACTTCAGCACAATTGTAGCCTAAATAGCTCAAAGCTAGAAGACCTGAAAAAATCTTCTACACACAGAAAAGCAGAATCTCATGAAAGGGAAGGCATAAGACCAGCAAAGACACACAGGCCAAATGGCACATCATGCCCAGAATGAAGCCATGGGAGAAATTGTTGATTCAAAGTATTTCTCATGAAAGTAAAAACCCATAGCATTTCCAGATCTAAAGTCGCTATTTTTGGTTTTTTCTCTCTCTCTCTTATCCCATTCTCATCCCCACATCCAAATGTCAAGTTTGCAGTTCTCTTTTGCTAAATTGAATTTTTAAAGAAAGTTCGTGATCCTCTTCAATTTCCCCTATAATTCACTGTTTCTCTAGGCAAGGTAGTAGAATTTGCCATATGGTACAAAAAAATGTATGGTGACAGTGATCAAATTTTGCTGACTTTTCTACACACACATTGGGAATGGAACGCAGAAGGGCATGGCCCTGCCACTATTTTGATACTCTAACATGTCTAGCAGCAGCTATAACTAAACTCATATCCTTATATTAAAATACAAATGCTCCTACGTATTTTTCCTAGAGTTTACAGGTCCATATCAAATCAAAACCACACTCTGGCTTTCTTAATTGATGTTTTAAATCAGTTACTCTGAAACAAAGAGGACTTAAGTTGCTGCTGTTCTTGTTGTGCATTTTTAAAATTACATTTGTTGTCTTTGAAGAAACAAAATTAAACCCAAGTAGAAGTTGATAGGATTTCTGAATCGATTTTTCCCTAGTTATTTTAAGTGATAACTTTTTGGAGGGATGAGGTATATAGTTGTATCTAAACTTTGTTTTTAATGGGTATACTATTCTTTATTTCTAATAAGCAGATATAAAAGACCAGGAGTAATAGACATTGTTAATCTCCAGTGCTTTTTCATGAATTTTTCACAAGGGTTTAATTAATCTGCTTTGTGGTTGTAGAATTCAGTCCCAATTTACATGCCTCTGCTGTAAATTCTTTTTTTATTTCTTGTCTCTCTCCTTTTTTTTCTCTTTGCAAGGAATTTTTCCTTCCCCTTTAAATGACTGCAGCTAATGAATGGTCAAGGGCTTTTTCCCCCTTCTTTAAATCAGATCTTGGGGTTAAGTCGGGAAACTGCCTTTTGTTCTTCCAGTCAGGTCGTGAGGCTGAAGATGTGGGTTTCTGATTATTGGCAGCACAATGCAAAAGGAATTGCTTTCCCTAGTGAGAAGGGGATGCTTTGTTGCTGGGGGTGTGGGGGGAGACTCAGTGCCAGTGTCTTGAGCACTGAAATCATGCAGTTGGACTAGACCCTTTAAGAGACTAAGGATGAACCGGTTTTCCAAATCTGTCTTCTTGTTGCCATGCTCTTCCTCTCCTCTCTTAACTGCATCTGCAACTAGCCATGAATTGAGACCCTTTAGTAAATGTTGAAGTCTTGTCAGCCTTTTATCTGGATGGATCCAAATAGTTAAAACACCTTGGAATTTGGTTTTATAAGAGGCTGGTTTATATGAAACCTTCACTTGGAAAAACAAACCAAATATCTGCCTTGCCCCTACCAACAAAAGTCAGTTTCTGGAGAATCATAAATTATGCTAAAGTCCACCTTGTTCTCCATCACATACTGTAGCTGTGTTAACACTCATTTGACTCAGGGCCAACCCTATTAATGTCGCATGTTGCTGCCAGTGGGAATTTAGTATGGGGATTGCTGGCGGGGGCACCAGCCAGGTCCTGGCAGGAGCCAGTCGGATATCCCACAAACAAGGGCCCCGTGGCTCGTATCAGCCAGAAGAAAATCCAAACTCCAAACCAGTCATCTTTGGCTTTCTCTTGAGGCTTCTTATCAGGGCTGGCTGCTGTTACAGAAGAGCCGATTGATAACCAATCATGACTTCCTCCAGGGTTAGAGGCAGCTTTGGCTCCCGGGCTGCAGACTGCAGGCAGAGTGCACTTCAGTTGCATTCTTCAGCTGCGCAGCATGCAACGCCATGGCACCGGCCCCAACAAAGGCCCAGCTTCCCCCTCCATTCCCAGGCCCTTGTATATAGCCGGCTCGCTCAGAGTTTACAAAGACGCCAAAGAGCCAGAAGAATTGGGGTTTATGTTTCCTTTCAGTCTTTCACAAACACATTAGTGATCTGGCCATTCCTCGCCGCTAGGGGAATAAGGAGATACAAAATGCACTGGGTGTTGTTGTTGTTGTTGATGTTGTTGTTTAAACGTATACATTTTAGATGTTTATTATCTGTCTATTCATAATCTTTTTATTGGGAGCAGGTGATTTCTTCTCAGCTTATGAAGGAATGTGCTTTCTGTACATGGCAGTCCTGATGATTTGACAATAATGAACACATTTAAGTTGTGCTCCACTTGTTTACAAAAGTCTCCTTTTGCTAGCACATCAAAAGCATTTTTTTCTCTCCTCTAGTACAATGGTATATTCATGCTTTCAGCCCTTACTTAGAGTTAGAAGCATCACTTGATTGGCGCTTACCACAATGCATTCTGAAACTTCATTTGTTATTACTGTTTTAAAAATTGCATTTCACGGAAATCTATTTGTGGTTTGTGACATCGGAATTGTAGTTTAGAGAAATGACCCCATGCATTCAAATGTTGTGTAGCATTTGTTCTAGGTTGAAGGTGAAAGGTTGATGACCAGATTTGGTTTCATTGATATGCTGATGCCTATGCTCCTTTCCACTAGAAAGCTTAGGTAGAAGCTCAGCTGGGGGCTGCAGTTGTCAGCGGTGTTCTTTGGGAAGGGCACAATCTTCCGGAAACTAGCCCTTCTTTCTAGTAACCATCCTTGCACTACCTGAAGGTGATAGATAATGTTGGTCTAACTCCTTTCTTGCCATACACTAAGCACTAGAGTGTAAAGCGGGGATAAACAAGTTTAAAAGTTCACTGTTTGTCATTAATGAAGCATCCTTTTTGTCATTTGGGGTTTTCATTTCCAAGTTCTTCTAATTTTGTAAAACAGGTAGCAGGCAAAAATACTAAGCCTCATACTCCTTAGAAACATGTATGGCAAGAAAACAAAGACAATGTATTTTATTGAAGCGATTCAGTGCTTACTGGAAAATGCTAGACTACTCCAGAGTCTAAAGCAGGATAATCGGTGAAGATATATACTGTGAGCCCACTAATTTTGTATACTGTGTCTTGTGTCATCTTTTCACTTTGGAAAAAAAAAAAGGAGGTACATGCTTTAAGATCAATTGAGGCCATTGTATTTGCAATGAGAAGTTTTTCTTAATACAAAAATTGGATTATTCAAAGTTTTATTATTTGAAAAGTCATTAGAATTCCTAGGAATCCTTTCATTTGTATTTTCCAACGGTGCACTCAAGGATCTGAGGGGTTTTGTTTTTAAAAATGAAAGAAAAGAATTAATATGCCAGCATCTTAACTGATTTATGTTTTTGACTCTTATAAATGGAATGTGAAACGAAAAAATCCTAGGGAAGTCTCTGGAAGAACTGGCATGTTATTTTGCCTCCAGCCTTAGGTTTGTCTTCTGGGAGCTAACTAAGCCTTACAGTGACAGTGGCTGACACACGAATAATCAGTATTGAGGAAAGTTCCTGATTTGGTTTCCTTGCTGTAGAACTAAGCCTTCATCTGGCCATTTCACACTTCAGAGAGCTAGTGTTACATAGTGACTAAATGCAGTTTGGTGTAAGGGAAATAGATATAAAAACATAAAAACAAGAATTCATTATGATCCATGTCTTACTTCCCCCGCCCCCATGCAGGAAACAGGAAAAAAAAATTAGATTGATTTACCCAAGGCCAAACTAATGATTGACTTTTTATGCTGTGTTGTTCTTCCCCAAACCTCATATTAGATGCTATGCTGATGGTGGCAGAAAGGCTAGAGGGTCCTTTCAACATTGAATCGGTCATGGATCCCATCGATGTGAAGATTTCTGATGCTATTATGAACATGCAGGATAATAGTGTTCAAGTGTCTCAGAAGGTAACGAAGGCAAGATGCTGGAAAGGGGAGCTGGGGAACCACCTCCTCCCTGTCCCGCCCCACGTTGGCATGTGACTTCCCTAACATGACTACACTTACTCCAATGCAGGTTTTCCAGGGATGTGGACCCCCCAAGCCCCTCCCAGCTGGACGAATTTCTCGTTCCATCTCTGAAAGTGCCTTCAGTGCTCGCTTCAGACCACATCACCCCGAGGAACGCCCAACCACAGCAGCTGGCACTAGTTTGGACCGACTGGTGAGCATTTTGGCAGGAAGGGCCGTGTTTAATGACAGTGAACTGAAAACTCTTGCTCAGAATGAATTTTTAGCTGGAAGGCTGACAAGTGTGGGTCTTTCGGGTGTCACTTTTCAAGCAAATAGGATGTGGATGTCAGTCAATCTGCCTGTCCCATTTTCTAGCTCAGAAAGTTCCTGGGTAGTCAAGGAGTTATGATGCAATAAGTCTTGTCTCAAAACTTCTCTTTAGATTCACCATGCATTTACTGAACATCTAGTATGTGTCCATCACTGTGCTAGGCACAGAGAAGCTCAGAGAAATAAGGCAAATCCTTGTTCTCAAAAGGTACCAACAAGGAGGCAAAGAGGGAGAAGTAGATGTTCCAGGCTTATTAACATAAAATGATGTTTAGTAAACGCTGAGATGGGAGAAGAGTGAATAACTGTAGGCAAATTGCTTTATCCACAGTAATATGCAACAAAAATGTAAGAAAGTATTCCTACAGTAGTAGGAATACAGAAGAGGGAGTCTGCGGAGATAGGGATGGAGAGAAAGAGCAATAGCAGCTATGTTTCACAGAGTGCCTAATATATGCACTTGATCCTGACTCTAAAAGCCTTAGGAGAAGAGATTGCGTATTATCTTTGTGCCTACAGCATGGAACCTGGTAGGCCTCAGATGGTACTTACAATGAGGTGCACGAGGGATCTAGACCACTCCTTTGGAACTTGCATTTCAACTATTCATTTGAGTGGTTTTGTACTTCTAAGATATAAATTGGAGTTGCATCTTCCTCTTCTAACTAAAGTTGAAAATGAATTGCATATCACTCTGGAGATACTTTGGAAATGGCCAGAAGGCACATTTGTAGGTAGTTTTGTCTTGTCTTACAATGATCCTTTTTTTGTTGTTTCATAATTAGGTTACTGATGTCAAGGAGAAACTGAAACAGGCCAAGAAATTCTGGTCCTCCCTTCCGAGCAACGTTTGCAATGATGAGAGGATGGCTGCAGGAAACGGCAATGAGGATGACTGCTGGAATGGGAAAGGCAAAAGCAGGTTAGTGTCTGTTGAATGAATTTGAAGTCTGTCCCTTCCTAGATGCCTGGGTGACCTTCAGAGAGGGTTCTCGCAATTGTCAACCGAGGCATCAGGAAGCAATTCACAGTAGGTAGCAACAACATGGAAGGCTTCTAGGCATTGTTAGGAACAGGCTTTGCACTGGGAGTGTTGAGAAGGCACCCAGTTACTTACAAAGAGTGCTGAGTCAAAAGTTTGACAGTAGTTATAGTCTCGTATTAGGGCCGTTCCAATAGTGTCATTATTTTAAAAATATTTAATGCCCGTTGCTCTTTGCCCAATGGCCTAGCCTAATAAATAACCAGTTCTCAAAGGTTCTATTCTCTGACTTGATGCCCTGTGTCCCTCCCTTAGACACTCAATAAGTTAGAGAAGTACCCATACTTTTGTTTGTTTGTTTGTTTGAGATGGAGTCTCGCTCTTTTGCCCAGACTGGAGTGTAGTGGCACAATCTTGGCTCACTGCAACCTCCACCTCCCGGGTTCAAGCAGTTCTCCTGCCTCAGCCTCCTGAGTAGCTAGGACTACAGGTGCCTGCCACCATGCCCGGCTAATTTTTTTTTTTTTTGTATTTTTAGTAGAGACGGGTTTTCACCATGTTAGCCAGGATGGTCTTGATCTTCTGACCTTGTGATTCGCCCTCCTCAGCCTCCCAAAGTGCTGGGATTACAGGTGTGAGCCACCACGCCCAGCCAGTACCCATACTTCTTTACTTCAACCCACCAACCTCCTCAAGAGGGATAGCTTCCTTCCTTCCTTCCTTCCATCCTTCCTTCCACAGAGTATCACTGTCAACCTGCTAGAATGCAGTGGCGAAATCTCGGCTCTCTGCAACCTCACTGCAATCTCAGCTGCTGGAAAGCAGTGGTGCAATCTCAGCTCACTGCAACCTTTGCCTCCTGGGTTCAAGTTAATTTTCTGTGTCAGCCTCCTAAGTATCTGGGATTACAGGCACACACCACCACATGCAGCTCATTTTTATATTTTCAGTAGAGACAGGGTTTCGCTATGTTGGCAGGGTTGGTCTTGAATGCCCGACCTCAAGTGATCCACCCACCTCAGCCTCCAAAAGTGCTGGGATAGCTTTCAAGAAGGTTTCCATCAAATTGGAGAAATGAGGAATCCACAGGAACAAGAAAGATTAGAGTTCATTAGGAATTGAAGAACTTCCATCTAATTTTGCTTAGTGGAAATACTATAATCTAGCAGAAATATTTGATAATCTCTTGTATAATCTTGATAATCTTCAAGCCTGTAATCCCAGCACTTTGGGAGGCAGACAGATAAAATCTTTTTGCTTTACAAATCTTCTTACTGGGGTCATTTTACGTTCCAGGTACCTGTTTGCAGTGACAGGAAATGGATTAGCCAACCAGGGCAACAACCCAGAGGTCCAGGTTGACACCAGCAAACCAGACATACTGATCCTTCGTCAAATCATGGCTCTTCGAGTGATGACCAGCAAGATGAAGAATGCATACAATGGGAATGACGTGGACTTCTTTGATAACAGTAAGCATTTGTGGTTTGAAAGAACAAATTGCTCTTGTATGCCTTCTGATGAGAACAAGTGGAATGAAATCTCTATTCCATTTTTTTTAAACTAGGTGATGAAAGTAGTGGAGAAGGAAGTGGAAGTGGCTGTGAGTATCAGCAGTGCCCTTCAGAGTTTGACTATAATGCCACTGACCACGCTGGGAAGAGTGCCAATGAGAAAGCCGACAGTGCAGGTGTCCGTCCTGGGGCACAGGCCTACCTCCTCACTGCCTTCTGCATCTTGTTCCTGGTTATGCAGAGAGAGTGGAGATAATTCTCAAACTCTGAGAAAAAGTGTTCATCATCAAAAAGTTAAAAGGCACCAGTTATCACTTTTCTACCATCCTAGTGACTTTGCTTTTTAAATGAATGGACAACAATGTACAGTTTTTACTATGTGGCCACTGGTTTAAGAAATGCTGACTTTGTTTTTTCATTCAGTTTTGGGAGGAAAAGGGACTGTGCATTGAGTTGGTTCCTGCTCCCCCAAACCATGTTAAATGTGGCTAACAGTGTAGGTACAAGAACTATAGTTAGTTGTGCATTTGTGATTTTATCACTCTATTATTTGTTTGTATGTTTTTTTCTCATTTCATTTGTGGGTTTTTTTTTCCAACTATGATCTCACCTTGTTTCTTACAAGCAAACCAGGGTTCCTTCTTGGCATGTAACATGTACGTATTTCTGAAATATTAAATAGCTGTACAGAAGCAGGTTTTATTTATCACGTTATTAAAAGAAAAAGCCCAACAAGCAGTAAAATTTCCATTTCTCCCTGTTATTTTAGTTGCCTTATCTGGAGAGACGTGGAGGTGATTTTCTTTTTTTTAATTATTATTAAGTTAGGACAGAATGTGAGGACACGAGCAGGCTTCTGAGCCACTTGTCAGATTGTATTCAAAGCATCAATCCAAGAAGAAGGTTATACGTACTTCATTTATAGGTGGTAATTGGAAGAGACTGCAGACTACTGCTTTGAATGAGTTGAATTACATAAGCTAAGATCACTGTAGGTCCATTTCTTGAACCCACTTATATATAAACTGTAACCCATTTAGAAAAAGATTCTGGATATCCTCCCCCTTGAAGGATAGAAGGCGTTCAGGATGTCCCAGTTATCACATGTTCACACTTGGGTTTGGGGGTGTTTTTTAAAAACCAGGCAGGTTAGCTAGCCCACCGTGTGCTAGTTTTCATGTTCACACTGACCCTATTTGAATTAATATCCCAATGGCAGCAATAAGTGACCAACAATCTCACTTGATCCCCCTTGTTAGAGTGGTCCAGATTTCAAACCCAACTATGTACAGGGAGCTGTCTGGGAGCTAGCCAGAACTGGGGTACAGCCTGGGCTCAGGGAATAGCTGTCAACACTCGGGCAAAGTTTTTGTCTGTGCATGTGTATCTCCATTTGTTTTGGGATCCCAGTTTTTGTTTTAAGAGAGTATAAGGTGTTTCATTTGAGTCTTTTTCTTACCCGGTCCCCTCTTAACAGTAAAACAAAGGACTTGCCATGGTTCACAGCAATGTGCTGCGATCCAAGATATCAGCCAAGGAGCCCACTTAGGGGAGAACTAGGTGTCCAGATTTTTGTACGTGTTGTTTTTCTTCGGGGGTGGGGCGGGGTGGGAGTAGGTAGAGCTGAGAAGGCTACATCTTAGCAGTGACCTTTAGCCATGTGGATGAAGTGGCAAAGGCCATGGCCATATCTGTTGTCCCAGGCCAAAGACTAACAACTATCTTGGCCCCTTGGGAATCCCTTCCTTGTGTCCTTACCAAATGATAGCTCATAAAACTCTGATAATGTAACAAATCACTTTCAAAGGAGTTCCCAGAAGTCTTCAGAAAGACTAAAATTCTGTAAGTCTCTTCCTGCTTTAGACAGCCATTAAGATCCCAACTAATTTTACTGAACCTAAAACCCACAAAGAGGTTGTTTGTGTTATTGTTCAATCTTCAGTTGTAAGAGTAATTCTCTATTTTTATATTGAAACATAATTACTTGATAGCTCAGGGTCTACATTTCATTCAACTTTTTACACCAAATTCTGCAGAGTGGTCAAAATGGAATATTGGGGGCTGTTGTAAACAGAGGCTTAATTTTATTAGAAGTAGTCAGTTATTTATTAAAGCATGATGTTAATAAAATAGGCATATTCTGGCTGGTGTGTATAAGTGTTTTTTTTTTAAACAAATCACAGAAGACATAAAATTGAAAAGGCACTCCATTTATATATGAGGGAAAATAGATTGTAAATAGCTAAGGGGCCTTGTGAGAACTTGGAAAATGTGCTGATACTTAGTAACTACCTCAGTTGTGAGGAATTTCCTTTTTAGCTTAGACTGCTATTACTTTTACTTGGTAGAAATGAATCTGGTCTCCAAAATATGGCTCAGAGAGTTATCCCCATAGACCTTGTTAGATTGTTTTTAATTTAAAACCTTGAACTGTGCCCAGTTGTTTTCTTCCAGTCAAGTTCTCTAAACCAATAACGTTTTCCGAATTAAATATTCTTGAAGGTTCTTCTGGACTCTTACTGATTTGTTTTCTTTCTTTGCATTTTTTCCTGTTACTCTTTTATTATTTAAATTGTCTCTTGTTTTTGAACTTCAACTATGAAATAAACAAATCATAGATTTTTCCATTCAGGTCTGACTGGATAACTGTTGGCTTCTAACCAGCTGGCAAGCTCACCCCCACTCCCCAAAAAAGAAGAAAGGCAAGTTGAATATTTTAAAACCTTAAGAGTTTGGAGTATGAGGTAGAATAAAAACCTTGTTAGGAGAAGACCTGACTTTTCCAAAGTTAACAGCATGTGAAGGGCTTGTGTTTTACAAAGTCATTTATAAATTATTTTTCTTTAAAACACGTCACCTACTCTGTACCTTAAAGAAACATTTTACAACTCTTAGGTTTATATTTTATTTCAAAAATCGTAACTAGCACCTGTTATTTTTATTAAAAGACACTGTGAAGAATTTACATAAATTTCTAAAGTTTAGTTACTGAGTGTTCAAAACCTAACAGTTCACATGAAGTGAAAATTGTCATTTGTGATTACAGAATCAAAATAAAAATAGGTGTGAATGGTGCTACACAAATTTCTGCTTCCCCCTTGTTAGCAGAATGTCTATTTACATAGCTAAAGGATAGTAAGTTATTAGGTTACTGCAAAAGTAATTGCAGTTTTTGCCATTACTTTCAATGGCAAAATACAGTTATCTACTAGAGGAGGGTGTGTGTGTGTGTGCGCGCGCGCGCGCACGCACGCACATGTAATGTCACTGCTAAGCCAAATGTAACTTTCTACCTTTTTTGAAACAACAACAAAGTACTCACAAAATTCTTCTGACTTTGAACTTCATGGGGAAAAATATAACTGCATGCCATGATACACTTCACAAACTCAGTTTCTACTTTTTAACTTCTAAAATTCTTCTAAAATTCCTTTTTATGTATGTGAAAAATACCTGAGAGATGACATTTGGTAACAGGAATTCTATTCCATCAATGAGCCAAATGCCAAATAATATTTACTGTGTACGTAGTTTTAAATTAGGTAATATATTGACAGGGTTTAAAAAACAGAACATATATCAAGAGACTGAGTGAATTTTCCTCCCATTCCTGCTTCCATCTGCCAAGTTGTCCCCACACCCTAAGTAAGCTCTTACTAGTTACTTATGTATGTCTTCTTCCAAAGTTTATTTATGCATATACAAGCAAATATGAATAGAAATTTACTCCTTTTTGTCATATAAAAGGTAGAGTTTTTTTGTTTTTTTGTGGTTTTTTTGTTGTTTGTTTTTTTTTGAGATGGAGACTCCCTGTGTCCCCGAGGCTGGAGTACAGTGGCGCAATCTCAGCTCACTGCAACCTCCACCTTCCGGCTCAAGCAATCCTCCCATCTCAGCCTCATGAATAGCTGGGATTACAGGTGTGTGCCACCACATCCAGCTAATTTTGTATTTTTAGTAGAGACAGGATTTCACCATGTTGGCCAGGCTGGTCTCGAACTCCTGGGCTCAAGTGATACTCCCACCTCGGTCTCCCAAAATGCTGGAATTGCAGGCATGAGCCACTGCATCCATCAAAAAGGTAGTATTTTATGCTTATAATGTCCTATTTCTTTAGGTTAATGTTTTGAATATTGAGAATAGGAGACTCTGAGGATACAGCTCTGTAATTAAGTTTAGGATTCCTATTCTAAAGGCATGGCTTCTCAGTAGTAGCACATTTTGTGTTTTACTGCATTTTGGCCCAGATTAATGTAAGTAGTTTTACAAGAAACAAGCATTGAATAGAGTGAGGAATAGTTTGGCATTATAGTACTATAACCCCAGAGTGTACAATTTGAATGCTCTCTGTTTTTGTTAAGGTTTACTTTTGGTAGTTTGTTTTCATATCATCGCCAGTGCAGAAGACATTAGCCAAAATAGTTTGGAAGATCCTCTCAGAATACAGCATGTTAGTACCACAGTTCATGCTTCGAAATGCTTCACAGGACCTGCTGTGACCTGGAATTTACTCATATTCTATTAGAATAAAGTATTCTCTTTTTTTGAGACAGGGTATTACTCTGTCACCCAGGCTGGAGTGCAGTGGCACCATCAGAGCTCACTGCAACCTTGGACTTCTGTACTTGAGTGATCCTCCCACCTCAGGCTCCTAAGTACCTGGGACTACAGGCATATGCCACCATACCCAGCTTTTTTTTTTTTTTTTTTTTTTTTTTTGTAAAGACAGGGTATCACCATGTTGCTCAAGCTGGCCTTCAATTTCCGGCTTCAAGCAGTTCTCCTGCCTTGGCCTCCCATGGTGCTGGGATTACAGGCATGAGCCACCACACTGGCCTGAAAGTACTTTTAATGCTTTCAAAAGCCCAGATGCCTTGCAGCAGCAGCAGCCACCACACAGAATGGAGATGAGGGTACTAGGAAAATGTGTAACTAGACCCTAGGTTACTGCGTCCAATGGTTCAGTCATTAGAATATGCAAATAAATTTTTCCAACTTCAGTTTTCTTGTAAAGTTGAATTTTTATGAATCAGTGTTTGAGAGACTTCTGAGTTCAGTAAAATCTAAAGAAATCAATTCCTCAGCATGAGCGTCCACATGTGCAATTAAATGTACATTCTACTCTACTTTTGACATTTCTTAAATGTTAGGAATTCTGGAAAAAAAGCACAGGGTTGTTGGAAAGACAAAGATCTTCACGCATCAATCCTACTAGGTAAAAGCTGATGAAAGATAACGAGTGTGTTTAAAGAGTAAAGATAAAGGTATATGTGTGATGACCCCAGGAGGCTTTTATGATCCTGTTCTCTGGTCTTTGAGGAAGCCTTTGGCAGCAACGTTGTTGCCACTCCATGTTATTCTTAATTCCTGTGTTTCTTGCATAGTAGGATTAGAAGACCTGTGTGTGTGTGTGTGTGTGTGTGTACGTGTACACAGACCTACCCACAGAGAGATTTATTGAGTGATTGTGTATTTTCAAACACTAAATACTGGTAGATCTTACCCTGTCACTTATGGGCTGCCTTCCCATGGCTGTCAGTGGGGTGTGCTTGGGGAATGTAGACTCATTTTAATAACAGCCTAAGGGAAACATAATTAAGAAGGTAAGTCTCCTGCCAAGAAAAAGAAAATACACATATATAAAATGCATACCAGAGACCAAATAGAATTTCTTAGATTTACCACTGCCTGTGTGTGCTTTTCTGCATCACCACAGATAACCTAAAGCTGACTGTAACCTGCTGTTCATAGTGACTCACTGCACAGAGCATTTTGGTGCCAGGTTGGCCAAAAAGAAAGAATCACAGCCAGTGGGTGGTTTTCTGAACACACCCATTAGGATCTCTTGGTCCTTTTTCAGTGCATTTGTCTTTAAAGGTCTTTACTGTCCCCACCG